TTTTTTTACAAGTTATGTCACAGTCTCCATTGAAAACACTTGGCAAGGGAAAATAATTATTTGTATACCCACATCACATTGACCTTTTAAAATATCAGTATTTACTGGTGCCTTCCACTGCAGATGTTAAATTAACATTCCTAGTTTGTAATAGGGAATCACCTTCAGTCAGCATTCCTGTCAGCACGACAAGAAGCATCACTCCACAGTAACAGGCACCTTGATTACCGTTCTATGTAGGGTTTAAGCTGGGTCCAAGAGTTTTTTTCAGAGCTGGAAGTGATTTTGAAAAAAAGAGTAGGCAGGGAACCAAGTGAAAGAAACTGGATTGCCAAAGAGAAACCAAAGGCAAATTCCAATGGCCCATGGTCACTCACCTTTAGTCCCGATATCTCCAGGAACTCAGCTCACAGGCTGCCAGCTGCCTCTCAGTATCACAAAGGCTAGTTCATCCTCATGTGATCTGATGACCACAGAAGCCCCTTCCATCCTCTGCGTGGCTGCTCTGTTGCTCAGCAAGTACTTTGCACACACCACTGGGGTAATTGGCCGTAGTGCAAGGGACAACACCAAGCAGGAACAGGCCAGACCTCAGCCTATTCCATCATCTCAACACCACACTTAGCCCCTCCTACAGCAGGAAGGCAGCGCTCTAATAGCTTCATTAGAAACAGCTTCATTAGAAACAGCTTCATTAAATGTCAACAGGCAAGCACAGAAAAGAGCAGAGCAAAGACCCCGGGGGAGGGGAAGAGTAGAGATCTGCTAATTTTCTCATCAGACACCCTTCTCCATAACGGCCTTCTGGCTTCTGCTCTGAAAGTCAAGTGGAATTGTCAAGAGGAATCACCTGTGATTTAAAGAGAAGCTTTCCTCCAAGAGCTATGTAAAACTGCCACCTTCCTATTCACAGCCTCTGGGGACAGGGAATCAGAGGTACTGAATTGAAGGGATAGAGGCAGAAAACATTGCTCTTCTCTAAATCCTTATCAGCCCTTATCTGAAACGCAGATGGGAAGCAGGCTCCTTAGCTGTGAACGAAGGAGACCACTGTGTGCTGCCTATCCAAGCTCAGGAGATGGAGGAGAAATTTAAGGAATGAAGTCATATAGTTATCCCCTTCCTCCTCCTCCAGAGGCAGGAGATACTGTGCTTTTTTTTTTTAGGTGTTGGCATCTATGGAGTTTAAAGGACTTCAGCAGGTTGCTTCAGCCTTGGCTTCTTGCTGGAAGCCCCATCAGAATTTGGTTAACAAGGAGCTGCAGCATCTGAGACTACTGGAAAGCTTGTGTATATGTGTGTTCCTCTGTGTGTGTGTGTCTGCAGCTATATAGACATATATTTAAAAGAAGGTTAATTGGTCTCCTGGGAGCAATAAAGAACTTGTTAGGTTCCTCTGTGTGAGCTGTGACTGTATGAAGCCTAATTACTGAGCCTAAGTTATTCTTTTTGGAGGGGGAGGGAATCTCTAAGGTCCTTATTAAAACCTACAAAAGTCTAAAGAATGATGGAATTAGAATTGATTGTCCATGTTGATCACAAGTGCAGAGCAAATAAAAATGTTGAACTCACCCCATGAAACACTAATGGGGGTCATATAGGTATGGTTTACACATCACTATTATTGGAAAAAACAGAAATCACTGTGCTGAAAGACAGGACTGGGAAATAGAGGATGGCAGATTTTCAGGTAACGTGTATTCATTATGCTTGTGGCAAGAAAAATACACTCAGTTGTTCTTGTAGGGACCATTTTGCAAAGCATTCATCTCAAGCGTATTTTCAGCACGATTAACCTTGTAAAATAAGAAATGAAAAGGCCAACGGGAAAGAGAAAAGAGGCTCTCTAACTTGAGCTTGGTCTGAAATGCCCAAAAGCATTTGGGATGTTTTTGCACCACTCTCTTGAAGCGGCAGAGGCACAGATTAGGCAAGGGCAGCTCACAGAGTGCTCCCTGTGTGCAGCAGCTTGGTTTTGGAGAAACTCTAATTGCAATGAGAAAAGCTGATGGTGCCTTTCCATGTTTCTTACTAGATTCTTTCCTTCCTACCATCTCCTCAATGCACTGCAAATTCTGTTCACTAAGGACCCAGAATTTATTTTTTTTTTTTTACTTCTAACATCACTAGCACACCTTAAGGGCATATAAATACAAAGAGTTGCACCACGCTTGAAGAGCACAGTTTAGGGAACTGATTTCATTTCTGACAGAAGTCTTTGTTTCACTGCTATCAATTATTCTCAGAAAAACTGTAACATTTCCTCTGTCTTTTCTGTTTTGTTGGTACCCTTTCTTCTAAACGCAAAATACAATGTAGTGCAGTTCTTTTAAGGGCAATCTGACATTGTTGCTCCTAGACTAGTTTAAGGGAAAGCAGCGAATCAAAAGTAACTCAAAATGTATTTCTGAACCTTCAGGCAAAACCAAATCACCACTGCTTTCCAAAAGTGCTGGAAAAGCCTCTGACCTGACCTGCTGGAAGCAAGCAGCAACCCTGCCAGCATTACTGATAATTTAGCCTCTTTCTGACTTTAGCATCTTTATCTTAGCAAGCTGATTCCACCTGAAAAATTTCCCAGATATTCTTAAGGGCCAAAACATGATGTCTGTATAAAGATAACTCAAACTACTTTGAGCTTGAGTTAAAAACCTTGTTTAGAAATGTCTGCTTGCTTAGCCAACATGCCTTCATCCCTGGCACGCTTGCTTTCTACTGCACTTTCAATATCTTTCTGCACTCACAGGCCAGCTTTATCTGCAGAAGACAAGCTGGAGTGGGGAAGCTGTGAGAGAAAACCTGCCAGCAACATCTCCCCACAGCACTAGCAGCCCTGGTGGCAGTGCTGGGAGGCTCCAAATGAAACCACTCAATAATCGATTGAAACCAACCAGAACACCTGATTCTTTCCTTGACCAAGCTGAAAGAAATGAAAGTTTTGTATCAACAATAATGAAAGCGAAGCATTAATTACACCCCTGCACTAAGGAATCCGCAGAGCAGCCCAGAGAAGCAAGGCAGGCAACAAGACAGTGCTCTCAGGACCCTGACTCAAAATCATGAGCCTTGTACCAGCCTAAGGCCAACCAAGCTGCTTGCATTGTTGGGGCAATGCTGACTGATTAGACCTCACTGTGGCCGTCCAGTACTTGGAAGGAGCATATAAACTGGAAGGGGAATGGCTGTTTACAAGGGTGGGTAGTGACAGGACAAGGGGAATGGTCTTAAACTGAGACAGAGGAGGTTTATGTTAGATATTAGGAGGAAGTTTTTCACCCAAAGGTTGGTGACACACTGGAACAGGTTGCCCAAGGAGGTTGTGGATGCCCCATCCCTGGAGGCATTCAAGGCCAGGCTGGATGTGGCTCTGGGCAGCCTGGTCTGGTGGTTGGGACCTTACACATAGAAGGGGGTTGAAAACAGATGATCATTGTGGTCCTTTTCAACTCAGGCCATTCTACGATTCTGTCCCCTACAGTTCTACTCATAGTAGTACACATACCTTCAGGATCCTCTGTAGCCTTTCTCATCCGATGCCAGGTAAATCTGACCCTCTCCTAGTACCTGTCACTCCCCGCTGCTGTACTTGCACCGTTGTGGTGTCCTGTACCAAAAGATGGTGCTGCAATTCATATATACAGACTTGTCTGCATCCGTGAGCGCTGGTGGGTATCTCCTGCTGTATAAATCAATGCACCATCTTAGCTCACACACTGAAGTTCTTTTCATTTACAAGTCTTAGTAGTAAATACAGAATCATAAGATAATGCAGGTATCATCTTTACACTAAGACACACATTTTCAAATATAATGTGTCCCTTTAAAATCAGAAAATAGCTCTTAAAGACTGAGCACCTCTCACATTTCCTCACTGTCCATCAATGGTGCCATAGCTTTGTCAGAAATCCCAATAAATGCAAAGGTCTGAACTCTCTCCCAGACCATTTCCTTTTCATAATAGCAAGAAGACCCAACCAAGCAGTGAATTCCTGTCAGGATTATTGCACTTCTTGAGTGGCTGATATGACTCGGCCTCTGGCCTCAAGCCACGCTACATACTCCAGAAGTGCACTGCATTTCATACGTTATTGCTTGCATATTACTGCTGGGCAAGTGAACACTCCATACGCTGGAACACATTCAAATGCCTTGAAAAGAGATATCTTCCTCAGTGTTGGCATTCTTGTGCTGGGGCTGTAAATTATGCCCAGAGTGTTCATTTTCTTTTTAAATGTGTTCCCGTCTCATAATAATTAATGGTGTCAAGTGACTGGTGTGAAGAAAGCCTGACTTTATAACAACTACAGATTAATGAAATAACAGTCATGGCTGGAGTAGCAGCAATAAATTGTTGAGAGGAGAGACACACCTGGAGCGATATTTCCAGGGGCCTTAAATTATCTAGGTTTCAATGTTCCTCATAAATATTTGGCTTTTGTTAACATTTGTTTCTGTATTAAAAGTGGAAGTCAGCAGCTCTGGTAACAGCAACTCCCTTGTGAATGAGTGTGGACAAATGGAGCACATATGCTTTCCATGAAATGCTCCTCTTCCCCAGGGCTGATCTCCTGGTTCAACAGATGTCTATAGGTCTTACAGCTTCAACACAAGGTCATGTGTGCTTGGTGAGAGGTAGAAGAAAGGAGATGGCAAAGAGAGAAAAAGACATATAGTTGGCCTGACAGAAACATGGAAGTGAATTTTCTTAGAAGTACAGTTAACCAGTATCATAGAATCATAGAATCCTTCGAGTTGAAAGGTACCTTTAAAAGTCATCTAGTCCAAACTCCTCTGCACTAAACAGGGACATCCACAGCTAGATCAGGTTGCTTTGAGCCTGGTCTGGTATGCTGGACTGCTCATATGCTTGAGCCCCAGTCTTCAGCCCGCTGCCTGTTCTGGATTGGGAAGAGGTGACCACACCTGGCTGCATCAATCAGTGTGAGCATTTCCCTGCTTGAGAAGAAAATCCTACTTAGCGTGTACTACAGTGTCTATAATCTCGAATTTGAAGTACAATCTGGGGAAACTGGGCATAGTAAAACCAAACTCTGAAGGCTCAGAAAGGTCTACAAACCACATTATGAGCTTCCTGAGCATGTGCTCAGTGCACCTGTCTGCTACGCAGAAGCAAATGTGATGTCATTCTTTTCTTTAGGTACTTGACTGAGTGTGTAGATGATGGAGGTTCAGAGGCAAGCAGCACTTCTGTGCAAAAGGTTTGGCTTCAGCCCAAGAACTTCACAGTGACACAAGGATCCTTTCACAACCTAGTCACCCTAGAAACCAAGTCATCCTCATTGTTTATTGAATGCAGATACATACTGCATATATAAATTCACCTCTACAAATTCAAGATGCAACTTAGAATATTGGGAATCTTTTAAAGATAAGTGGATCTGGCTTTTGGAAACCACATCTAATGGGAAGTCAAAGGGAAAAACATGATCTCTCTACTTATTTCTATGACTACATCTTGAAGTGCTGGCATAAACTGGCACAAAGAATTGACTGGTCATCTCAATGAAATTATATCATTTTGTAGCAAATGAAGATGGTATGTGTTTCTCAGTATTTATTATCAATTAAATTACGTGTTGTAAATGGATAATCAAGTGTTACCATCTAAATAAGGTGTCTGATACAAAAAAATGTATAGCTGTGTTCTAGTCAACAAGCATAAGATGTACCGTTAGACTTTGTGATCATTCAGAGATAACAGAAAAGATACAGATATCAATACCTAGAAAGCACGTGGGAGAAGCTCAGCAGGAAGTTGTGTTGTGTATCACTGGGATTCCAATTCGATTCTCAATTCTTCCTACATTCACTGCTACTTGGATTTGAGGTTCTGGTTATTAAATATAAACAAATTAAATTTATCCTTGCTTTATGTTTAAGTTTGTAGTTTTATCAGCATGTCTAAGAGCAAATATTAAGATTTACTCACTGCCATTTTGACTTGTAGAAGTTAAAAACTTTCTGAAAACATCACATATTCCTCCAAACCTTAATTCAATCCAGAAGATAATAGAGAAAAACTAATAAACAATAAACATTTTCGTAAAGAAAGTAGGACCTGATGAAAATATACCAAAACCACTTAGGAACACATTAGGAAGCTTCCTAATAACAAAAAGATTTCCGTATCCTTTCTCCTTGAATGTCTCATTTTCCAGATTGGAGTTTTATTCAGTGTACTTTCATGATGGCCTCACACTGTTCCTTTAAGTCCATCAAGGCTTGCATCAGGCTGTGATCTGTCCCATGGGTCACCTTCATAATATCATAGGCCTGGAGAAGAAAACAGAAGGGGACAAGTTAGACATTGTGCAGACCACGTTCAGGGGTTGGTAACTGCAGTGGGGCATGGATGTAAGTGCCAGCTCTCAAGGTGCGGGCTTTAGTGCATGGCAGAGTATCTTAAGTATCTCAAAACCCATAGCAATTTGTCTCTGACAGAGAAGGAAGAACTCACACATTATTCTTAGATGTTAAATCTTCGCTAATGTATTGCACAGAAGGATGTATAGCATAGCAGAAGAAGGTGCTTTTGCACTGAGGCATGAAGGCAATTTTAAGATTGATCACCTATGGCTCCCAAAGTTTTGATACATTATTTCAAAAATGACTGTGATATTTATGTGATATTTAGTAGCCACAAAGACCTATAAGTAGAAATGAATTAGTGCTTAACAACTAGAATTAAGTGCTCAGACTATAAATGGAGAAATGATGCACAGCTTCAAACAAAAAGAGTCTTTGGAGGAACGAATGAAATTCAAACTTCTAGAGATGGGCAAGCACATGGAAATTCTGTCATCACTTATTTTTGTTTCCATTTAGCCACTTTTTTAGAAGAAGAGGTAGGTGGCAAAATGTTGAAAGAACTAGTTGAAATAGCAGTCAAAACAAATCAATGTGCAAAGAGCTCTACAGAGTTAACTTCTGAGCAGCACAATGCCTTACTACTACATGGTAAAACACTGTGAAATAGAACAAAAGAAATTCTCCACATTCACTTTCTTTAGAAATGCCTGAGAAATGTGAAACAAAATCTGAAATCTTCAATTTTTGCAAATTTTTGTTTTAGGAGAAATAAAAAACCCTTCATGTTTTGCAAAACATTTTCAAGACATAATTATATTCCCTGAAGATTTGCTGAAATGTTTTTAGTGTTTGTTTTCCCTAATTTAACATGTTAAGGAAATGCTGTAAACAGTAGGCCCTTATGTGTATTATAGTTGAGCATAAGGTATTAGGCTGCACAAGAACTTTATAAATATAAATAATGGAAGAAGTAGCATAAAAAGCAGTAGGAGCCAGTCCTTACCTGGTAGAGACAGTTTGCATAGAGAAAGATGAATGCTGGTGTGGTGTAGGAATGTAGGATGGTGCAGAGCAGAATAGCTGAAGGTTGGAGCCTGTGCATGCCGCTATGCAGCACAGTGTAGCCACACTCAGGCAAAGTATGGACTGGAGAACTCCAGGATAAAATGGCAAGGTGTATTGGCCACAGGTCCAGACACATTTGGTATTTGGATGGCCTGGTCAAGAAAGTTGATGGACCTATTGTGAATGGCCTGTGTTAACAAGCTGTGCATTTGGACATGTCTGGACACCAGGACAGGCATGCCAGGTCCCAGGGCAGCTGACCTTGATCTTCATCCCACTTACAAGACAAAAGCCTGGCGAGTAGTTATGGTCCTGAGCAGCCTGATGCACAGCTGGAGATGTCCATGATGATACGTCTCTATTGTAAGGCAAAATTCCCTAACTTCTGCCTAACCTTGAGATAACACTGCCATGGCTGACTTCTCTCTCATCCGCAACTGTTTGTTTCCATTTCCTTTCTTTCTTCAGTATGGCAGATAAATGTACCCAATCTTTGTTGTTCTGTCTCCTTCAGAGAGAAAATCATACAATATTCTATCATACATTGAACTACAAGTAAGAACCAGGCTGTACTGAAGTCAGAATAACAATGACTTCTGTAATCCTGAAGGTACATTGGCATGAAGTTATGTAGCTATTTTTTTTGCAAAAATCAGCACAAAATTTAGAATAATTTCACCTCCAAAACAAAGATTTTGTTACTGAGAGTGTATAAAAAGTATGGAGCAATAAGCCAACTCTCTGACACCCCTTTACTCTTCTAAATCTTACAGCTAACCAGCAGAGCCAAGGCTGAGCAGAGTCTTGTTCTTGCATCTGAGAGGAAGACCACACACACCACAATTCTAATTATGAAAAACTATAGTGATTGCAAGGCAGCCGCAGAGGCCGTGGCATCATCAACTATACAGTCTCCCTGAAGAATATAAAACCCATTAGAGTAGTGGTACGACTGTTGCTCCATGAATGCAAATGAAATGCAGCACAGTCATTTGCTCCTGATTTGCATTGGGATGGGATGGGATGCCCATTGTCACAGCTCCCTGCAGATGCAGGATGGCTCCACTCCATCACAGTGAAAGCAGAAAGCAAATGGCCATGAGCTGAGATGGCATAAAGCGAAGGCTGACACGTAAGAGGGAATGTTTCTCTTCGTCTCCCTGTTGAGGGGGGCCCTTATGAATGCAGGCAGAGCTACAACAAAGCCAATCAGTACTGGGCTGGTAAACATTTCAGCATTTGAAGCAAACATCTAGAAGAAGGAAATTTCTTTGCTGTGAAACCTGGGAGTGATTTTCCTCCTCTTCCTACGCTTTTTGCCCTCATGCCAGGAATTACAAGAAAGGGAACAATGTCATACCTCCTGCAGGCCTTCACAAGGCAAAAAAACCATGCCCATCAGCTCACAGAAGGATAGAGACACTTGCTGCAAGGAAGCAGGGGTCAGAAATCAGATCCAAGCCTTCCCCTCTACCCTACTTGTCCTCACAGAGTCCAGCTGCATTCAGGTTATGGGCAATCAAAGTAGGGAGTTTGCAGTTCTATTATGGTATACAAAGACACATACCAAACATTGGTGTTACTGAGCGCACTTTGGGACAAAACCAAAGGGCTCTGCAATTATAGTGGCTGTGCTAGTGCTTCACTTCCAGGCAGCAGAGAGAAGAGCAGTACAGGCTAGGCTGTACAGCCATGTGTGAAGGTGCATGGGTCCTGCACATTTGCACATCTGATGCAGAGGGGCTGTCAAACCACAGTAGCTCTGCGGCTGTGCCTGATTAAACAGGATTTATATGAGTGAGGTGAATTTCACTCAGATCTCGATTCCTCTGCAACTTCCACATCCTTCTCCTTAATGCCACACTGAAATTAGTCTGACGAGGGCTCCAACAGGGTGCTATTCAATGTCAGAGTGTATTAAGAAGAGTAATGAAGCAGAGAAGGCAATCGAGTTTCTGCTCTGAGCGTGTGGCATGCTCTGTTGACACATCTAATCACAAAAGACCAAACTGTGTTGCGATATAACCCCAGGACATTATCTGAGTTGTATTAGGAATCACATCCTTTACTCACAACAAACTGGGAATTATATTTTGCTCTAATTTGTTTCAGTGTAGACAGCAGTGAAGGGAATCAGCTTCAGATCCCACTCAAAGAAGCACTGTGACCCATGTGTACAGGTTGCACAGCAATGCAGGGTGACAGGGACCTTTCCCTTCTGCTCAGCTGTGGGAGTGGGAGGTAAGGCTCTCCCTGACTTACATGTAGGGGTGGAAAGGGGGAGATGGAAAGGGCAGCAGACGGAGATGCAATAGAATTAGTTTGTAAGTGGCTCTGCATCCCAGCTGCAAAGCCCTTACTGTATCCTTTTGGCTTGGAGACCAAGATTAGAGATGCACCAACCATGGCAAGAACAGTAAACAACATGTTCCTTTCCTTTTTTTTAGACAGAGGATATCAAAGCTTGAAAAAAGGTTTCTGTGTTAAATATCGCTCTGCACTTGAAGAATAATGCAGTAACAATCTGGATTGCAGTGGGCAACTTAGTAGATACATACAAAAAGCTATCACAACTTCTGCCTTCATTGACAGCAGCAAAGATGTAGATGTAGACAGAGATGGCTCTAGGAGAGTTAACTCCATTTTCATTTAATGCTGTATCACATTAGAAAAGCTACTAGAAGTACATCTGTTGACGTATTGCAGAAATCTCTATGAAGATCTCTCCTCTGTCTGGGAGCCCACTGCTTGCTAAAAAGGAAGGTCTGAATGTTGGGAAATTATAAATATGACAGGGGAAATAGAACAGCAGATTACCTGGCACATGACAGATATATAGCTTATTGCTGAATAATGAATGGGAAATATAATTGATTACTGTCACATCAGCTTCTTAATCATCAGAATTGGCCGCAATTTAAGCTAAATATCTATCAAGTGAAGATTTAAGTTACTGGGATTTAGTAAAAAAAAATCAAATTTATTATTTAAATAAGTGAAAATTATCAGTTATTCAGTTTGTATAAATGATCAGATGTTAAAACCTAATAGATATGGCGCTTAAAAAAAGCAAGCACAAAATACTAAGTTATCTATAGAGTCATGAATGTTATCTAAAGGAGATCCAGACAAGAGCAGAACATCAACTTAAAGCAAGGCACCAGCTTCATCCAACTGTCAGCCCTGGGGCCTGCTCCTGTCTGCAGCACTGAGCTAAGGCATTAAAAAGCCTCAATCAGGCACCAGAGGTGGGCAGGAAGATGAGCTGGAGAACCTCACAGAACTGGTATTGTCTTCAGGCTAACTTCAGCAAAAGGGAGTTGGTAACACACATGAATGAGCCTGGCACTTCTTGAAGCAGCATGTTGTCCAGGAGGAGAAAAATACCCCAGCAGTGATGTAGGGTTTGAGATGGGAAGTGAGTGAGCCCATGTTCTGAAGACACATCACTCCTGAAAGAGGATTCTTCAATGTATTTAAGATGATAGTAACAGCAATATAATGGCAGGACAAATAGTCTAGCGTAGGAGGAGACGAATACAAAATCAGTTTAGGTCCAGCAGGGATAGCTTAAAACCAAAAAGCAACTTGTAAAATGACTGCAAAAACAGACTGAAGATGTGAATGATACAGAAATAGAAGGGATCGAGAAGCATGCCTGTTGATGGTGTTGTTCACGATAAAATACAAGCACTAAAAGGCAAAGTTCTTCTATCCAAAATCACAGATACCTATAGGGAAGAAAGAGGGTGGAAACCACAGCTCTGCTCCTTCTTTTTACTTTCATTGGTCCCGGATTCTCTACTCTATGGTAAGGTGAGCAGAAGGCACTGAGATATTTTTATCTCTTAGATCTAATAGTCATTTTTCACTCAGCCACCTCTGAGCTATCAAACTGTAATTAGCAGTGACTGATACCAAAAAAAAGCAGTCCCTGAAACACTACAACAGTGACCCATCACTGCATTCAGCTGCAGCTTGAGGAAGCAGCAGCAATGATAGAAAAGGTGGTGAGAAATATTCAAAGGCACAAATTACAATCAGGACAGGAGGGAAGGGAATCCACGGTGGGTTTGGGGTTAGCAAAGGAGTGGGGAAAGAAGGAGCAGTCCAAAGTACTGACCTGTTTCAAGGTCTCCAGTGCCTGATGTAACATGCCTTGACTGTACTGCAGTTTGCCCACTCGCATCAGCTGCACAGCCCTCAGTGGATGGAAATCAGGATAATACAGCCTGCGGAGAAAAGGGAGGGAAATGCGTCACTGGGTCGGCTCTCACCTTCACAGTCACTGCCTCTGTGGAAAGCTATTAGGGTGGGACTGCAAGGTCCTTGTGAATGTTAATAAGGTACTCAGAGAAAATTAGCTGCTCTACCAAGAAGCATGAAATACTGAGGGGAATTAGAAAATTATTACTCTCTATCTCAAAGGAATGCCTTTAACATTATCCTGTTAGAAAGTGACTGGAGTGGGATTATTTCATTTGCTACTGTTGGATAGCACAATAGCATTTACTGTACTTAGTGTTGCAAACAGAGGTTGTTCACAATCCTACATCCCTGAAGAGGTATAATTTTTGCAAGGGTGCTTCAGTAGGAAAACCTGTCCTAGATTCGATAAGATGAAGGAAAACGACTGCAGGCGACACCAAGTGTGTCATCATTTCTGAAGGTTTGCTTGCTGCTCCCTATTGCAGAAAGAACTGGCAATGCATGTACAAGGAAATATTTTGGATTCGACTCGTGAATATAGGCAAGGTATTTGCTAGCATGAGGAAAAACTCCTTTTCTCAATTTCACAGATGCAGAAGTTTTCCATCAACCTCACTGGAGTTACTTTCAGAACAACATATGTTGAGATGAAAGCAGAACTGTGTTCTCTTTTCCTGAGGACGTAGATGGAGGGCAATGTCATCATTAATTCCCCTCAAGACACTCATGAAATGTCGTAAGTCTAAAATGTGAATAAGTAAGCATCATGGAAAATGCTTGCACACCCCAAATCCCTTTTTCTGCTGATTTCACACAACTTTGGTGAAGACACAGAAACACATGGGAAGCATGCCCAGTAGGATCTCTGTACCCTGATCTATAAAGGCCTCTCCAGAGGCAGCAGAAACCAGCTTCATGTGAAGAATTCATCCTAAATTCCCATGTGCACACACCGTTCAGACTGCAAAACTACAAACAGTGCACAGCGGTGTTCTCAGCCCTCTTGGGGGTTGCATCCCAAAAAGGAGAGTCAGTAGGCTAAAGAAAAATGGCAGTACTTGTCTCAGTCCTAACTGGTCACTAAGGAATTTCAGTGATTCAGATGAATAGGCACTAGAAATTTATCAGAAGGGTTATTTTTAGATCTTTTTTTTTCTGATTACTGTATCAATTAACATGGTGCTTTCTGCTACTAGTTAAAGAAAAAAATGCAACTAAGTCTGAGATTTTGATGTGGATTAGCAAAGAGTAAATGGGAATTGCAGAGATAGCATGTCACAAATGGGAATAGTGATGACGTGTGCAACTTTCTAAAACTTGCAAAACAATGATACCAATATGGGTGCATATTTCTGCCCTCACCTGTGACTGTGGCTATGAATGCAGTAAAAAGGTAATTCCCCCTTTAATTCAGGGCTACTGAAATATTGGGAAGCCTTGGGCAATGATCATGGCCATAGAAGCAGCAGCAAAGAGTTTTCCGTGGATAACTTTCTGCAGTCCTTGGCAGACTTTGCTGCACCCTGCTCTGATTCTTTTCTGTCTCGTCCTTCATGAGATCACATGGACAAATCCAGGCTGCGCTTCAGTCTGGCAAGATGTGGCTTGCTGAACTTCACAAGGATCCACCAGAGTGCAGAATCCATCCCTGCATGCAGATGGGTCTCTCTTTATAGCTCGCACATTCACTTGCAGTCAGTAAAGATTTACCACTGTGGTATGGGCAATGCCCAGAGAAAACAGGAGGCTATTTAACAATGTCAGGTACTCTGTCCAGACTACCAACCATAAACTAAAGCAAGTGAAAATTTAAGATGAGGACATGGGAGGGCTAAGTGTGGAACAACGAGCTCTGAGTTCATAAATATTTACAAAGCTATTTTACTGCACTGATTTATGTGCAGATCTTATGCATGTATATAGTTACATTTGCAAGTCTTAAAATTGACATTTGAAACTACTATTTATTATCATATTCTGGAATAAATCTGTTAAACTACTGGAACACCTTTCATGAAAACATCTACATTAAGTGAGTTTATAAGAGAAATTTAGGCAGCTTGCGGCTCTTCTGGAAGACATGTAAGTGGGCAGAAAGTCATTCGCTTCTTCCAGGCATCCCCAGGATTCAATATTATGTAAAGATGGCATGGCAAAAAGAGTTAAGAAGCAGTGTCAGGTACTTGAGAGCAAATCTGTTATCCTTGTATGTTGCTCTGAACAAAACAAATGGATATGTTTAATACTAAGGAAGACATTTACCAGCCAGAGAAACTGGTACCTAAAGACACCTAAAGACTGTCAGCAAGAAAATAACACAACTATAGAGGAATACGTCCTGCAAAACATGGTGCAGCTTGGGAAGAGTAGGATTTCAATCTGAAAAGGATTTTATGAGATTTACCAAGGCTTGAGGGATGGGAAGGGAACAGCATCAAATTGAAAGACAAAATAAAGGAAGACAGCTCTGTGGCGTGATGTTTCCTGCCCCTTGGCACTGGTCAATGCACAGCAATTCACTTGCAAAGAAAGATTAAACAGACTGCAATAACTATCAAGTAAAGCTGCATTGTAAACAAGAGGACTAGAGGAGGCTTGGAGAAATCTTTAGATTTTAAAACCCAGACTTAATCTAAGACAGTACAACTCTGTTTCAGCCTCTGGCTAACAGCACCCAAGCCAGCCTGTCCCTTGCCTGTCTGCTGGTCCCCAGCTTGGTGTCACCTGCAAACAACAGCAAAGCAACTTCTAGTGCCTCCTCCAGGTTATTGGTGGAGGTGTTAGGACCAGTCCTGAACAAGTCCCATGCAGCACCAACTGGTACTGGCTGGCATTCAGTCAGCAACATGCTGGCCATAACCCTCTGACTTCCACCATCCAACCCTTTTGTTACCTATCAAGCAGTCTGCTCATCTGCACTGTAATATTCTAACCTGGATGACAAATCCTTGACCCTCATGGCCTTTCATATATGATAGTCAGTAACGTGGCCAGCTCTCTTAGTGCTTTTGCTGGAAGCAGCCATCAAGCCCCATGGGTTTGTATGGTTTATACTCTCTCAGAAAGTCCCCAGATCAACTCTCTTTCTGGGTTGCGCCAGACAGACTGCACAGGCAAAGAAAACACTGTCTAGCTGACTATCCAAAACCTCAAATGAAAACTATTCCTCAGTCTCCAGGTAGCTTACTTCAGTGTTTCACTATTCCAGGAACCATCAATTTCTGCATTTCATTCACTTAATAGAAAGATATCAATTTTCAGTAGACAAAGATAAGGCCAACACTCTGTAAAGCCATAGTAGTTTCTAATGCACCACGAATTTGATAGCACCTATTTGCAGTTCAGCCCTGACATTTGCCTTGATTAACCTCCAGAGCAGTCACTGTTCATACACTTCATAAAGAAAAATTTTCTTCATTCTATATCTCTATTTCAGCTCTGAATCCCTTCAAGCAATCATCTGCATTCTTTTATATACAACAATGTAAAAAAAAAAAAAAAAAGTAACAGAAACAAACTTGACAAATTTTAGTCAACTCCTTCTACTTCTTAATACTATGATTCCTCTAATTTTACTCAAATTATCTCCCATTAGAGCATGAATAATCAGAAATTTTGTGTTCTCCCAGAAGCTAAAGCCTACTATTAAAAAAAAAAAATATGCAAAATCACTGTCATTTCTGATACCTCATATTTTAAAATAAATTCCTACCCTTTCCTCTGTCTCTGTAAATCTGTCTGCAAGGTTAACATTTGCACCTTTGTCTTTAGCCTGACGTAATTAGAAGCAGGCAGGATTTGTAAAACCTGAAATGAGGGTTTCAAATGGAAATGTTACAAGGCTCTTCAATATGGTGATACGTGAAAAGTGATGCCATACATGACTGCAAATTGCTTTGTAGTACCTTTTAGTACAAGTAAATATGACAGCATAAAAGACATAAAGCAGTTTTAGGAGCCACAGCAACAGAGAAGGAATTAAGAACAGGCTTCTGGGCTTCAGGAAAGGTGTGAGCCGAATGTAAAGAGGAAAGCATCAGCCTCCAGACAGAAATACACTAGCTATGCAGGATGGAAATGTTCACACAAATACACCACCTGATAAGTGTGACCCTCTTTTCTTCTTCTTCCTCTTTTTTTTTTTTTTTAACTTATTCTTTATTTCAGATTGAATCAATATTTGAGTACATTCATTAAAGCTGTTCACATGACTGCAGTCTAAGAATTATTTTTATGGTGTCCAGCTATTTGCTTTTTTCATTATTCATTGATGCGACACTGGTCATTTAATTCACATGATTATTTTTCCATACAGTGACTGGGATGATTTTTAGGACAAATTTAAGACAAATTGTTAATTATGCTAAAAAGTACAAAATCTTTGGTATCTATCGACATTTCCAAGAATGATCCAGTTGCTTTATGAACAGTCAAAGAAATCATATTCCTCGGGAATACAGAACAGGTAAACTACCTGTGCTCATCTGGGAGCCCATACATCTTAATACTTAAAAAAAGGGACTGTGCTACAGCTGCTCATTCTGATCTCTAAATTTCACCTATCCATTCCCATACCAAAAACAGGAATCTGAAGCTGAAATAGTGCTTCAGTGAAATATTATAGAAAATATCCTTTTTTATAAATAATTAGTTTAATATTATAACAATCTCTGGCCCTGCACAAGAGTTTCGTCTGAAATAAAACAAGGCTATAGGGTTACTTCTGGAGGAAATGAGAAGATGTTTTTGATACTGGAATAAATGACTTTGTTTTCCATGCGAAGTATTAGAAGTCAAATTGTAATTGTACAATTTCTCAGGGCAGTATACCTACATTAACTGATGTATAATCTTTAGAGTTCCCCCATGGAAGTCTGGCCCTGTTCTCACGTTATCACATGTTTTTTTCTTGGAATAAAAACAGTTTAAACAGACATTCATTTTTCTATTTTTTTTCTATTTTTTTTCCCCTGATATTACCTCTGTCACTTGTGTGATCAATCCTTCAGCACTAGCATGGAGG